TCTCTAAATCAATTTCAAGGCTCTTGAAATAAGCACACAATAATTTTATAATTTAAATGATTGAAATTCAATAGTCTTATAGTTTGCTTCTATTGAGAATAATTTTGGCTAAGTGCAAGAGTGGTTAATCGTAACCTTCTTGGAAGTTTTCTTTTTTTAGACAATGATATTACATCTTGTGGCTCCATCACTTGGTGGGGCTTACTACCACATAAAAAGAAATAATTGGTTACATAAAAGAAGCAAATATTCGCAGCGAGGATTTTGACCAATGCTTTTAAGAAAAGTGGTTATCAATGCACAAATTGCTTGCCATAAGAAGGTTTTGGAATTTAACGAAGAGACGAGTTTATTCATGGCCTTTTTCATCTTGATTGGAGTTACATGATTGATAAATATTTTGAATTTTGAAGGGGGAGACAAACCATGCATATTGGGGGTGTAGATCCTCTATTTAATCATGACCATATCTTTGATTTTGAATTCATGCAGTTGAGCTTCATGCCTATGCTTGATATTATTTTTTGTGCTACATTATTTCTACATCTTGCTTAGATCAATAGCGAACAAATATTATTGGAGTTGTGGTAGCAAAAATATCTTGATTAGCATTTGTAAATTTAGATGGTCTTTGTGATTTGGGAGCAATTGTATTAAGGTTTTGTTGGAGTTGAATTTGTATCAAGTCTTCTCAATTGTTGTGGTGGAAATGTTCTTTGGGAGTGTTGTGGAGGGTTCTATTTGTGAGGCTTGATTTAGGGCTATGATAAGGTGTAGGTGCCAAGGTTTTATAGTGATGTAGAAAATAAAATATTAATTAATCAACTTAGAGTCTCTTTTATGACGTCCTAATATATATAGATAAGCAAATTTATCTTCAGCCCCAAATGTATTCGAGTAAATTATCTTCTTTTTTTTGTTTTTTTATATTCAGTTTGAAAGAAAGTTATAGTTAAAATTAAGAATTTTCAAATTAATCAAATTTATTTTTTATTGCCGCTGAAGCAAATCAAACCGAACAACGCCTTCACTATGTATAACTATACAAGGGAAGTCAAAATGAGATAAGATAATGAATGATTAATTTATATGCTGTTAAGTAGTTGCAAGAGATTAAAAATCATATTTATTAAAGAAAATAATGTAAATTCTGTAAGCAAGAAAATGAGCTCTTCTTCATGGCCGGTAGACCTGCCATCATATAACTCCTTACTTTCCGTCTAAATGACATAATCAACCAACAAAATTTGCAAATTTTTGTTTATTAAATGAAATCCTTAGGTGTAATTACTGACTGCGACCACTTAACAACTGATAAGAGGTCGCCTCCTTAGCTTTGAATTTTAAGCAAAATACGTATATATAATAAATTTTATAATGGAGTACCGGTTGACTTCAGCCCATCCAACCGAGCAACCAAAACCTCGGCGACACCTTTTATGGCCCCTAGACGCCTGCAAGGGGCGTGACAAAGAATGCAAACAGAGCCAAAGAGACTTTGGTGCTCTAGGGAAGATTTTGAAGTTTGACGTAGCAACGTTGAGTGGCATCAAAGGGCTTAAGTGCAGATATTGAACTTTGAGGGGTGTCTATCGGGTGTGGTATCACTCTCAGTATGGAAAATTTTAAGTGTGATTGCGAGGGTAGGGGTGTAAATGAGCTGAACACAAGCGAACCCTGACTCAGCTCGTTAAAAAATATCATTGTTCGTGTTCAACTCATTCCGCAACAAAACATCAAAAATACATTTCTTTAAAGTGGAATATCATTAAAAATAGTATAAAAGATGTACGAAAATCTCAACATATTTTACTTTGGTCAGTAGTTAGTTAAATTTTTTAAAAATACTACTCATCAATATATATATATATATAATTGATGAAGTATTTCGAGCCGAACATGAATAGATAAATGTTTTTTCGTGTTCAGCTCGTTAACTTAACGAACGAATCAAACACGAGTTGTTCGTGAACAATGAGCCATTTTGATAGCCCTAGTGAGGGTCTGAGAAATTGAGAGGGTAAGTGTGAGAAAACTGTAGAGATAATTTAGGAGGATTTTTTTGTAGTACGGTGATCTTCAATGTACTAAGCGAGAGGAGTGAAGAACATGGGAAGCACTACAAGGGTGTACTTTTTTTGGTTTTTTGTTTTAAACTTTTGTATAATGTTTTAATTAATAAAGTATGTTTTGTGTTGTTTCAAAGCATGTATACTATCTAATTTGTATCTCTTCTATGATTGGCTGTTTAAAAGATCTATGGTTTAATTTTTTTGTACGCAACTGATATGAAATTTTGATGGGATGAAGTTTTAAACTTCCAATCTTTGTTTGCTTTCAACTTGGTCAATTGTTTTGTTAAGGCTTGTTGTGATCTTTGCATTTCAGAAGAAATCTTAGAGGACAACTTGGTTAAAACTCATTAATTTAATACAATAAGAATGCTGCTCTTATGCTAGTGCGATATTTTTGGGAAATATTTAATCCTGGGATAATCACTTTATTTAGGGAACTAAATATGTATGATTTCGAAACTTTCTTGTTGTCACCGGGAGAGATTAAGGAAGAGATTTGTTCCCAATAGTCACCTTTAATTTTGCCGTTTTGTTAATTCCATGCTTTTAGGACCCAACTTAGGGGAGATACCTTTACTCGTTTGAGTGCCTCGCATATTTTACTTATGTTTTTCTCTTCGCAAAATTTAGGCCTAGAAACTTTATATTCACTCAAATCCAAATCACTCAGGCTAAACATAAAGCCAACTAACTAGAGCATTTTCTGATTATGGAAGTTTACTCATTTCTCATGGGATTAATACACGGACTCAGATTTTGTATACTACTTGAACAACATGCATATTTGTTTGTAGGTGCTTCACATCATTTTGGTCCGCATCATATATACATCAATATTAGCACTCATCATCCCCATAATGGTGACATTTGCCCTTGCCAACAAACAGAAGTCCACCATTGATATTAATGTTGATATATGTAATCTTTATTATGATTGATGCTCCCTCCTTCAAGGGGAACAATTAAGAGATCACGAACAATATCTTGATGACACTTTGAATGCCTTAAGGCTTCTCTAACTTCTATTATACGAGTAATTTGACATTATCCATTCACACACCATCAGATCAAAATCTTCGCAATTATGGGGAATTCCATCATTCTAATTGAGTCATGCTCGTAAAATTTCCCCTTCAGTTTTTCACATAAAATCTTCATGGCATCATTTCAATCGAGTCGGGTCCTATAAAATTTTCCCTCTAGTCTTATATGCAAAACCCTCGTGTCTTTTATGAGCTACTTCTAACTTATTTTATCCACGCGTGCGGGATCTTTGTTCAATATTAAACTAATAATCTCTTAACTCTACTGCCATGGATGTTCTAGGATGCAACATATTTATAAAATGATCTGTGTGATATTTATAGCTTTTATAATTTATATGATTTTTAATATTTAACTAGTTGTTTTTTAATTATCAAATATCTTAGTATTTTTGTTACAATTCTCTTTTAACTATTTAACATATTAACTTGATATAATAATATTACATACTATTTATATAACTAACCAATATATTGTAAGCTTTTATATTTCATATTTGAAAAATGTTTTTCTTTATTTATTAAAGTCATTGCAAAATTTCAATGAATGCATCATCTCTTTGGAAAACAGCTAATTTAAAATCAGTTCATGACAATTCTTTTGCACTTATTTTAATGTCGTACTTCTAGGCCGGTGAAGACTTTTACAAATGAAACCAAAGATGCTGAAAAGCGAGGAAAACTATATGCAAGTCAAAGCCTGATAAGAAGGGCTGCTGTTTGATCAAATAGCCTATACATTATTATGATAGGCGCTCTTATAATACAAATTGCAAATATAATTTTTTTTTATTTACATTATTAGCAGGTTGCAAGGATTATGTAAGACTTTTTGTTGGCTGATATGACTGAATGAGAAAAGAACATTATCTTGTATCGAGTATTGATTATCATCTTTAATTTAAATAATGTAATTTTATTTTGCAGATGAGATCATGTTGGATTAATTTAAGGGTACCTTTGGGACAGGTGTCATATTTTAAGTTGTTATAGACTTTTTTTTTTTTTTTTTTTTTTTTTTTTTTGGCTATGAGATAAAGTCAAAAGTATATTTTGGCTTAAGTTGATTTATTTATATTGGTAATTTTATTTTTTTTTATTTGAGAAGAATAATTTTTCTTTTACAATATTTGTTCTTATGTGTAACTCGTTTGTTACAATATAAGATTATATTTATATTTTGTAGACCGGTTTTCATAGGTTTTAGTGATATTCAACCGCTTATCAGGTCTCTAGAAAATTAAAGTAATCGTGCATAAATTAATTTTATTATTTTGTAAAAAATATAGATCAATTTTTTAGAATTAAAAAAAATATCAAAATAATAGTCTTATTAATACAGATTGGCTGTGCATAAAGACTATTTAAAAGTAGAATGGGTCAGATCTCCTCAAATTCACTTTTTCATATCATTATCTTGTATTTAGATAAATTTATCATTTAATTAATCAAAAGTGTACAATATATACATAACTTTCATATAAATTGGTTGAAACTCTCATGAGGCAGAATAAACTACTAAATTTATTTCAAACATATTCAAATAAGTACTACATATTTAAGATTTAAAGCTTTATATTCATATTTATATATTTGCAATCTTCTATACATCCGTAATCTTGCAACCATATCACATACCTTAAGACAGTAAACTTCATGTATAAAAAAATTGTATCTCATTTTAACAAAATAAGTAGTAATGATAATTTTTGATATGATTATAAAGATTTCAGGGCTATATATATAAATATAAATGTTAAGTATGTAAGAATTATATGGTATGCACGTAAATGTCCCAAACTCTTGTTCAGAACTTGTGAAAAAGTACAGGGCGAAGTGGGCGCCCCATTAAACATATCTTATATATAAGCTCGCCCGCCATGAGATTCATGTCAGCACCGAAGGATGCGAGGGGCGAAAGAAAAAAAGGAGGCCTTTTTGTTTGAGTGAGGTCTTATTTTGTGAGTGAAGGGCAGTGGGTGCTGAAGAAAAATAACAGTTTGTGATCGCTCTTTCCTCTTCTTCCTTCTCGTCTCGATATCGTAAGTTATTTTCTTCTCTGAGATTCGTTAGGCTTTTCAAGAAGCAGAGCTGATCTGTTTTCAAGGCTCATCCAGAAAATTTGCCTTTTTTTCTTCTTCTTCCTTCCGATTTCGGAAATTGTTCTGGTACTCCCGCGTTCAGTTCCTCTTTTCAATTCGTTTTATTTTTTGTATAACTTAAGCTCTAGTGAACTGCTAGATCGAAGAGTAGGATGGGAACTTATGTAGGAATTTATTTGCAGAAGAAATTCAAATAGGGAGATTTTCTTTATTATTTATTGCTTGGGTAAACATTGCTAAAGTTTAAGGAATGTTTCGATTGAAGTATATATATAACTGGCTGCTTGCTGTATCTAATCTCAGGGGGAAGTTAGGCAGCAGAGGCGAAAGAAAGAAGTGATGGACTTTTTGTTGCTTGGCCTAGAAGAACCACCTATTGAGCGAAGAGCTGGTTTGCGAAGGGATCAAGCAGGCCGAGGTTGCTACCGAGCTAGCTAATGAGGCAGGGTGGTTGGTCTGCTCGCTTTTGACTTTGGTACATAGCTACAAAGGGATTATGGGGTCTGCCACTTCGTTGAATCAGTTGTTTAGGAATCTTTGCCACCATTCTATGTGGAAATATGGTATTCTTTGGAAGTTTCAAGATCAGAACCTCATGTAAGTTGTTTAGGTTCCCTTGCATTGCTATATGAATGCATCATATACTGTGGTAAAGCCTGTGAAAACTAGCTCTGAAAGCCATTTTTTGTTGTATTGCAATATGTTACTTTATAATTTGCAACATAGAATCCCTTGGATACTGTCATTTTGATGAGAAAGCTTTATCAAAACAATTTGAAGAGATCAAATTAGAATACTAGTATACCTTAAATAATGCCCTTGTAGCCATCCACACTGCACATTCGTCTTTAATTTCACTCTTTTTTCCCTTAGAATCTTTTTTTAGTAGTTATTTATGTTGTCATATCCCAAGGCAAGCCCTTCTCAGCCATTCCATTCAGCAATCAAGCATCAATACTCTGTAGATTGGCCAGGTTATGAGAAGCAAAGTAGAAGAAAAGGTTTTCCAACTGAAACCTACTTCTCATGCAACATTATTTGAATGTTTTAAAACACTATATTGTTCATTATGATTTATGCACATCTCTAGCCCCTGCTGTTTGATCCCCCTAATGCTTTATCCCCTATAATTCTTTTGTGTAGTTGCTAATAATTTACTACATCTTTTCAAATCAGACTTTATTTTTTTTCTTGTCACTAGAACTGTTTCAAGTAAGCCAGCATCGGCTTACTGAATCTTCCTTAAAATATATCCCCGTCAACTGCGAAGAGATGCATCTTATATCCAAGTGTTCAGACTGGTCAAAGTTTTAAATATAAGCATGTTTTAAGTTTTTTGAGACAACAACTACGATGCAAGTTAATTCTTGTACATAAATATGCAAAATTTGGGCACTTTTGGCTTTTCTAACTGTACAATGTTTCCCTTTAGGCTATTGACATGCGAAGATTCTTATGCTATTGATACAAAGTCAGGCGTTGCTATGGAATATAATCAGTACAAACAAGAATTCATCAACAATGATCCTTGGATTAGCCCTTTCGGCTGTGAATCTATCGCTCAAAATGGAAGTATTTCTGGCTGTTCCATTGTAGTTGCAGTTTCCAAAATGATGCGATTCTCATACTTAATTGGTGAAGGGTATGTTGATTTAGAAAGTCATTATTACTTGAACATAGACCCTCTTTCAGGGAATTCTAGGGGTGATATGATTTTCTATTAAATAAAATAGTTGAAATACAACATTTGATATAAATAATAGTTATGATTTCCAATGTGATTTTATATTAAGAATAATAACATACATGATGTGAGATTTAAATTACAATTAAGATAGTTATATTCAAATAGCATCATGTGCTTTATTCAAATAGTAATGATATAAGTGTTAGCTTTTTAAATTTGTTCAAATTCAAATTCAAAATAAATATGACATTTAGCTCTCATATAACGGGCCATGTCAAACATTCTGATTCACTATTTTAGTACAAGAAAAAGTAATACACTTTGAGGACAAATGAGTGAGAATTTAATAACCATGACTTGAGATAACTTTACTCATATTTATTACTTCTCCTTATGTTCAGGGAGAGAGGGAGGAATACAAGATATTAGATTTGAGAATTTTCTTATCTTTATATCCTCTTTACCTTATTTGAACAAAGCCTACGTAGAATTGGAAGAAATCCATTAAAATTTTGTACTCTCCTCTTCTCATGTAGTGGTGGGCCCTTACATCTTCAAGGGAGTTGTGGTATTTAAACTTCAAGCTTCTCTTGGATCAAATCTGGATCGTCTTGTAGTTTTCGTTTAGCCTTATATGCTCTGCGCACCCGATGTAAATTTTTTGGCTTGAATTGAGTCTAACTTTGGGCTTGTTTTGTCTAAGGCTTAAGTTAAGACTAATGCTGGTTTTTTTTGTTCTAGCTTAAATTGCATTGACTAAACCTCTTGGATTGCTTGCCAGTGCAGTTTCTGTTTCAGTGGACTGGGCTGTATATTTTCATTTAAGGAAATTTACTTACCTATAACACAATTCTTATGTATTACATATCAAACATCCAAATTTGGATATTTATATTTGTATCACTGGGTGTCATAAACTTATGCATGAAAAGGTGTTATTTTACTTTTGAAATGATAGCGATGATGGTATTATTGATGTGTTGTTAAAGATTTGAGTGGTGTGCATGTAAATATCAATGTTTAGGTGCTAGATATGTAAATACATAAGAATTGTGTGGTATTCATGTAAATTCCCCTTTCATTTATTTTGTCATTTGAAGGACACAATCGGAACTTAGGAAAACCCATAGAGTAGGTTCAGATAAGCATTTCAATTTCAGATGTAATTCCAAAATTTATGGTAATCCAAGTTGGCAGACTCCAAATAGCCTCTTTAGAAATAGGATCCTCTATTCCAATGAAAATTTCACAACTTGAAAACATTACTCTGGCAGGATCGTTGGCAAAGTGGCATCCATGGAGAGGCATCAATGGATTTGTATTGGAGAGGTGAACTCTGAGCTACTTTTGGAGGTGAGCTAGTGGTGGCCTGAATTTGGAATTTATCGTTTTACTTGTTTTTATTATTATATTTAAACATATATGAAGTTACTATGTTTGCAGTATCCAGAAGAGTTGGGACTTCAGGTTGCAGCTGGAATCAAGGTATTTTTATATTCTTCTCGTGAGTTGCAAAAATTCTAATTAATGCGGTCGTCTTTTCTCCGAATTTATCTGCAAGGGTGCTTTGCTTCCCAAATATATTGATTTTACTTGTTCTTACTGCAGACAATTCTACTTCTACCCATACTTCCTCTTGGACTTGTGCAGCTTGGGTCATTGGATAAGGTGCGCCCTTTTATTCTCATTTTCATTATCTCTGCTACCTGCATGAACTTCTGGCCATTTATAATATGGTTTGTATGCCTCAAACTGGGTTTTGTAATATACAATTTTACTTTGTATTACTTTGCATAATATTCGAGATGCAATGATATTGCCTATGTATAGGTCTCTCGCCTCAATTGAAGCAACATAATGCTTTTTTACATCCAGATGTTAAAAAAGAAGTTGAAGTTTGATTGTAGTTTTTTCTTGATATTTTATTTGGGTAAATGTTAATACATGGAATAGGAAAAAAAATCCTAAAAGAAAGTAGTTGCAACAGAAGGTTGAACTGATCTGGGGGTAAGAGAGAGGGATTCATTCCCTTGTTATGAATAATTTGTAGCATGGATTAGCAATCAGATGTTTTAATCTACTCAACCGTTTCTCACCCTTTCATAATTTCTCATGTGTTGTGGCACATGAAACTAAGATATGTAAATAACTTCTGAACTTATTTGGCAATACAACAACAACAAACCTTTATCCTACTAAGTGGGGTCGGCTACATGAATCCTTTTTTTCCATTGTATCCTATTGTCATATTTTCATTTAATTCTAATAGATTAAGATTATTTTTTATACAATATGTTCAAGTCTTTTTAGGTCTACCTCTGTCTTTCTTAACATAAGTCAAATCTAAAACATCTACTTTCCTAACCGGATCATCAGATGACCGACGTTTAATGCGACCAAATCATCTGAGACGACTCTTTCTAATCTTGTCTGCCACTGGAGCTACACCAACTCTATCACGTATATATTCATTTTGCATTTTTTCTCTAATTGTCAAGCTACTCATCCACGTAAGCATTCTCATCTCAGCGACATAACTTTGTTTTATGCTTTCCTTTTAAAGACCAACATTTTGTGCCACAGAGCATTGTAGGTCTCACCCTCTTATAAAATTTTCCTTTAAGTTTAAGTGGTACTTTTCTATCACACACTAGGCCCGGTGTATTCCTCCACTTCAACCAACCAACTTAAATTCTATTAATAATATCCCCATCTATTTCAGCATCACTTCGAACAATAGACCTGAGATATCTAAAATATTCACAACTTTTAATGATTTGATCACCCAATGTTACAACTCTGCCACTAGAGCTACTACTACTAAAATTATATTACACGTATTTAATTTTAGATCTACTCAAATGAAGTCCTTTAGGCTCCAATGTTGAAATCCATAATTCAAATTTTCCTGAACTCTTTCTCTAGTCTTATCCACAGGAAGGATATCATTAGCGAAAAGCATATACCACGGTACATTCTCTTGTAAATGTCTAGTAAGAGCATCCATAACCAAAGCAGAAAGATATGGGTTTAAAGTTGATCCCTAATGTTATCCAACTGAAATAGAAAAATACTTTGTCAATCCTCCTTCTGTTCAAACATAAGTAACATAAACATAAAATTTAGTACTCCTCCCATTAAAGAAATAGAAACATAAATTTTATTCATGGATGTCTACATTATGTTCTCTATGGTTTCTGGGTTCTCAAATTGCAGCAAACAAACATTATGAGCTGTGTGGTATACTGTTCAGAGTATCTCGATTGCCTTATCACATACAAATAATTTACCTGCAGAGCTTCTTCACTCTTAGAAAACTTTTTGTTTCTTTTTCTGTCATCAGATATCAGAAGACTTGACAATGGTGGCTCAACTTAAGGATTTGTTTTGTGCCTATCAAAGCACTATTGATTCAAATTCTTATTTTGAACTGAGAATGGGACAAATTGATTCCTACATGGCATTGAACAGACCTCCAGAGAAGTATTCCACCTGTTTGGAAGTAAACAACTTCATTGATCTTAAACAAAATCAACCATTTATGATGCCTGATTTGGCGACGCTCACCTTTGATCAAGCAATGGTGAATGAACATTTATTAATGGGTTCTATTGGTTTACCTCATCCCATGGTTCAATCCTATGATCCATTCACTCAAGTTGGTGTTCATCAGGGTCACGGACTCAGCACAGAATTGCTAGATGAAATAAGATGGAATGAAATGTGCAGTGAAATTTTTCAAGATCGTTCAGAGGAACAGATTATGCTTATTAATAAAGGTTCCTTCACTGGAAGGACAATGGAAAGTGATAAATCATCTATTCTTCATGAGGCGGTTAAACCGATTCCAGTCGTCAGTCAGGGGTTGATTTACAAAAAACCTAGAGTGTTTGATGCTTGTGATATCAACAAGGCTAATCTTAATTTTAATTTTGTGGAGGATGTTGTTATTGATTCCACAACTGATAGCAGAAATCTAGACTTCTCTGTTGAATCTGGACAGCACAAACTAATGGTTCAAAGTGGCATTTTGGGTTGGAACAACAGTACATGGATGCAAAATCAATCAAAATCCATCGAAGGGAGTGGAATAATCAGTGGTTTTAAAGCAGCGGTGCCTGAGACAATTGGATGCTCAGTTGAACTTTGTATTCTGGAGAAAAACGTAGGAGAAAATTCAGCACAGTTGGCCATGGAAGAACTGCCTGCTGTTTCAGATGACAAGGAATTAGAATCACGTGAATGCGTGAAATCTCGCTGCAGTTCATCAGGAAGATGCAGCGACTCTTGTATAACACAGTGCAGAACTGAAAATGTGTCAAATTCTGAAGATTCTGCTTTCGATAGTGACAAAATGACCTCATTACTTTGGGATTCTGAAGGTCTTACAAACTATCTCACAACTTGTCCACAAAAGAGTTCTGTCTATATGCCACAAAAAAATGAAGGTCATGAGAACTCCATATGTGAATTTTCGAGGAGTTGCTTGAAGGAATCGCGTAGTAGCAACAGACAAACAAAAAATCGAAGCGCTCACAGGCCAAGGCCCCGGGACAGACAGTTGATTCAAGATCGTATTCGGGAGCTAAGGGAGCTGATCCCAAATACATCAAAGGTGATAATGAATATAGAAAAAGAAGAAAGGTTTGAAAATTTTATTGTTACATAGCTCCTGCATGTTCTAAAAGTATGATCTTTGTAACACAGTGCAGCATTGATGCACTTCTGGACCAGACTGTAAAGCACGTGATGTTCCTTCAAAGTGTTCCTATCCACGCTGATAAGCTGAGCCAATCTACAAGCTCAAAGGTACTGCTTTATCTTACAGCGGCTTGTAGTTTTTAAATTGTCTACCACTGAAGTGTTTATTTGAACTCTTTATAAGCACGAATTTTGCAGTAACTTTGCAGCAAAACATCATAGGAGCTACTTAAATTGAAGTGATTTTTGTTGTTTGGCATCTTTGACTAATTGAACTGAAATTCTTCAACTGATCGCTGTGATTATGGTGTGATAAATTGGCCCAGATTCGTATTCTGATATACATTTAAAAATCATACAGATCAGAGTGAAGGATTCAAATTTAGAAGGGACCCAGGTGCCTGAGAACCCAGCAAGTTCGGCACATGAGGTGGGAAATAAATCGATGCCATTCCCTCTGGTCGTTGAAAATCTTGACCAGCCAGATCAAATGCTTGTAGAGGTGACCGTGTTCACATATTTACTAAATTCTATATATGCTCCTTTATATTTAGGAAGATTTACATGTATACCACTCGATTCTTATGGATTTACATGTTTAACCCCTAAATTTCAATTTTTACATATATTATGACACCTTTCCTATGCATGAAAAGGTGTATTTCATATTTTAAAAATGATGTGAAAGTTTGGGTATGTAAAAAACATAAGAATTGGGTGGTATGTATGTATATGCCCCTTATACTTATATGCTGACAATCTGCATTGGATTGATAGATGCAATGTAGGAACCATGGGCTCTTCTTAGACATAGCACAGGCAATTAAACGTCTGGGACTAACCATCCTGAAGGGCATTTTGGAAAGCCGGTTAGAAGAACTCTGGGCACACTTCATTATTGAGGTGGGAATAAAAAATATTGGATGATAATAATAATAATAATAATTTGGTTTATCTTGTTCAGTTATATTGATAATAATATTTGAATAAACAGATTCCTAAAGGCTTCCACCGCATGGATATAGTCTGGCCATTGATGCAGTTGCTGCAGCTCAAGTTTTAAGTGCATATTGGTGTTAAAATAACAAAGAATGTCAGCTTTATTTGTGACTTATGTTAATAGTGCTGTGTTTGGATTGGAAGTCTTTTTAGTAACTTTTTGTCCAGATTGTATGAGTAGTATTATTTTGTTTTATGTGTCCATTAATAATACATTGAAACTTTGGCGGCAACTCTCTCTCTCAGCCATTGGAGAAAACATTTAGTTCGGACACCGTTATGTCTGGACGACGGAGGTCATGTTGGCATAAATTCATATATATGATGATGCGTCCTCCTGTGGATATATGTCTGAGCGGTTATAGAGGACATTCTGCTTTGATGTACCGTACCGTAGGTTGCAAGCTATTTTCTCTTCGGCCAAAGCATGCTGATTGAAGTATGAAAGAAATTTTACAAAAATACCGAATCATCACAATCTTGTCAGTTGGTTTAATTTAATTTTCTTTTAAAAGCTAAATAAAGATTTAAATTTTATTATTTACTAAAAAATAATCATTTTTTAAATATATTTATGTATCTGTTGAAAACTCAACTTAATTTAGCTTATTTGTGAGCGGGCCTTAATTAAACTTGTAATCTCGAATGTTTTTTAGAGAATTTTAAAGCTTCATTTTAAGAGGATTTTAGTGATTCTAAAGATATTTAAATGAGTAATTTGAAGTATCTAAAATAAGTAGTTAATCATTTTTGCAATAGAAGAGAAGAGTATTTTAGAGAGATACTAATAACCATAGTATTGAAATATGTTGGCATAATTATGAGTTGTCATTTATATAAATAGATGTGTTGTGTTTGATGGTTGTATGATAAGGGAGAGATTATGTTAGTGAGCAAGAAAAAAATTCAAATAACCATAGCACTAATTATAAAAGAGAAAACTCATCAAGAGGACATAGCAGAGAAAGTTCAAACTTGGGGCAGATAAATTCAAATTAAGTGTTACAACCACTATAAGTTTAGGGTTTATGCTCAAGTCAGCAGAGTACTTGAAAAAAAAAAAGTAACAACATAAAAGTAAGAAAAGAGGAAGATGACACACTACTGCTAGCATACACAAATATGAAAGAGTGAAGATGAAACATGATTTCTAGGCACTAGTGCAAGCTCATATGCGTGGATATATATATATATATATATATATAGAGCATAATAAATTAGTGAGAGGAAATGCATGCTTCAGTCCTTACTCAAAGAAAAAAGTGAAAGACATAAAATTCTCAAATGCTTGAAGAAAAAGAAGCGTCAATTTATTTATAATGTTTATTTTGTGCCAAATAAAAAAAGTAATATACTAAGTATTGGGAAACTCATAGAAAATAGTTTTGATATTTACTTGATAGAAAATACCCTTTTTTAAAGGATAAATTTAACAACTTGATTGTCAAGTGCCATCACCAAGAATATAATGTTTTTACTTAGCATTGCAAATGATATTGCCAACAGTCTTAAAGCTTATTATAAAGATGTGTCATAGCTATAACATCTTTGGTTTGGATGCTTAAATTTTGGAGGATTAGAATTACTTTCAAAGAAAACAGTGATGTGTGGACTACTTTACATTAAGCATACTGATCAACTTTGTGATAATTGTTTACTCGAGAAAAATTCAAAAAAAGCATCTAAAAGAATCTGGTTCAAGCAATAGCAACAATTTTCTTCTTTTCATAGGTATTTCAAGAAAATGATGAGTGCATTGTTTGAAGGAAAAATCATAGGTTTTTAAAGTATTTAAGAAGTTCAAACTTATTGTAGATAAGAAAATAGACTCTAAATCAAAACCATGTGACTTGATATATTGAGGAGGAACATTCACTTCAAATAAATTTCAAAAATGCTGTCAAGCTTATGGAATATGTCGGTCACTCACAATTTCAAGATGTCCTCAACAAAACAGAAGAGCATAACGAAAAAATCAAACCATTATTAATATGGTAAGGAACATGCTCAAAACAAGAAATTTCTAAAAGAGTTATTGACAGAAGTACTGGCAAGTGCAATTTATCAGTCAAATCAATCACCAATAAAATATGTGTGAGGAAAGACACCACAAGGAACATAAAGCCAAAGAAAACTAGATAATTCTTATCTAAGAATTTTTGGAAGTATATCCCTTGTATATAACACGATAATATAAGATGTAAGCTAGAATAATAAGAGCTAGGAGTTCAATTTTATTAGTTATGACACTAACTCAAAAGATTATAAACTGTAAAATCTAATACTCGAAGAACAATTATCAAAGGTGATGTCATATTTGATGGAAGAAGAAGCATGGGACTGGGGATCACATAATGAAGATTTTAATTTTTCTATATTTTAATGAAGAAAAAATGGAGCAACAAAATATGAAGCAAGTGAGAGAGAAGACTACTACTCCACCAATAGCATCCTTCACAACTACTAAAAGAACTCATATTCAACAACTTCAACTAAGAATTCAAGTGAAGAGTATCACATTTCAGAAATTTATAAGAACTTTATGAGAATCAAGATAATCTAACTCTCTTTTATTTATTTGTTTAATGTAAGCCTCTTTCTTTTGAGCAAAATTTGCAAAATAAGAAGTGGATATTTTTTTGGATGAAAAATCAAAGCTATTGAGGAAAATAACACATATGATCAGTTAACTTCACTTTCTGATGGGCATAAGACAATTGGTGTAAAGTGAGTATACAAAGAAAAAAAATGTTAAAAGAGAAGTTCAAAGCTATAAAACAAGATTAGTGGCAAAAGAGTACAATTTAAAAGGTGGCATCAACTATGATGAAATATTTACTCTTGTTGCTCGATTAGAAGTTGTTAGATTGATTATTTCTCTTGCGTCTCAAAATAAATGGAGAATATATAGATGTAAAGTTTGCATTCTTGATGAATTTTTAGAAAAAAGTATATATTAAACAACATCCAAACTTTAAAGTCAAAGTACAAGAAGACAATGTTCTAAAGCTAAAAAAAGCTTTTAATGGAAATGTCCTTGTAAGTATGCATAAAATGCTTTTAATGGAAATGTCATTACAATCAACAAAAGCATGCAATAACCAAAAAAATAAGTTCTTTCAAGAGAATGATTTATGAAATGTTCTTATGAGTATGCTCTTTACATCAAGAACATGAATGAAGATATTAAAATTGTTTGTTTATATGATGATGACTTAATCTTCACCGGAAACAATTTAAGCATATTTTGAAAATTTAAACAAGAATTACAAAAGAGTTTGAGATGAATGATATTTGGCTCATGGCATTCTACCTGGGCATTGAATTCAATCATTTTGAAAATGAAATATTTATCTCATAAAAAGGATATTTAAGAGAAATGTTAAAAAAAATTTAAATGGAAAATAGCATACCCATTAATATTCGTGTATAATGTGGAGTCAAATTATTAAAGCATGATAAAAGAGAAAGAATTGATCCAACATTTCTTAAGAGTTTAGGAGGAATTTTACGTTACTTCAATGCACAAAGCCTGATATTCTTTATATATGTTATTGGACTTGTGAGCCACAACATGGAAACTTGAACTAGAAAAAGGATATATATAAGAGTACCACAATGCTTGGTTTGCACTATTCATGTTGTATATCAAAGGTACAATTAATTTTGGTATGCATTGTTCATCATCTAATAACTTCAAGCAAGCATGATATAATGCAACCATTGGTCAGAGAAATGAATAATAGAAAGAACACCACATAATTTGTGCTCTTTATTAGAGACATTGCTTTCACTTAGATGTCAAAGAAACAACTGATCATCACTCTTTCAACTTATGACAGAGAGTAGACTGCTAAAACATTATTTGCTTTCCTTGCAAATTGGTTTCAAATTTTGTTAAATGAATTAAGTTTATCACAAGAGTAAGCAACGAGTATCTAATTTGATAACAAATCTATAATAGCACAAGAAAAAATCTAATTTTTCATTGCAGAATCAAGCACATTGATAAGAGAATCTATCATAAAAAAAAAGACACAAGCTGAGTACGCAAAGTCTCAAGATCAGCTGTCTGTTATTTTTACCAAGCTCCTCAGAAATGAAAATATTATCAAGATACAAAGTTTGTTTGGAATGACAAAATTATGTTTAAGAGGGAGTGCCGAAAATTAAACTTGATTTAGCCTCCATGTAATTGCGCTTTAATTAAGCATAAAATCTAAAATGAACTTTGGAGAATTCTAGAGACTTATTTGAAAGAAGATTTAAAAAATATATATAGAGACATATTTTAAAAGCATATTTAGAAATATCTAGAATAAGTAGTTAATGACATTTATGATAGAAGATAAAATAGTATTCTAGAGAGACAACAAATGTGATAGCATAATTCTTATTAGGTTGTCACTGTTAGTTATAAATAGATGTGATGTGTTTGAATTTGTATGAAGAAAAAATTAGTGTTAAATAAAATTGCTTCTTTGATTAAATTCAGAAGGTTCTTCCTTCTCCTTAATATCCTCTCATCCTAAAAGCTTTCTATTTCCAACAATGTACAACGTTCAAATGAATGGCAATGTAAAATTTAATGTTAAATTGAATATGGTTTGCAAATTTTCTCTCTTCAAAGTAGTATTGGCAAAACAATTATAAAACTAATGCGGTCCTTTCTTTAATAATTGGGTTGCTATTAAGTCTAAGTAATTGGTCATTAATTTGGTTTTCTTTGATGGATTAATAAAAACTCGATTAACTTGAAATGAAGATTCGGCCTTTTTAACTTGATCTCACAATAAATAACATGTAACATAATAGGCATTTATTTAAGGATTAAGAGAAGTTTAACAATGCGATAGAAAGTATATCTAATGGCGTCCAACAGCGTTATTTTACTTTAAATAGATAAAACACTACAAGTAATTAAGTAGAAGAGGTGGGTAGCCTCATGCACGCATGGTTAATCCGCCGTCGACGACTATAACTTGGCCGGTGATATAAGAGGCTGCCGGCATGCAAAGAAACGCCGTCGTAGCAGCCACCTCCACCGGTTCGCCGGCGCGGCCTACTGGAATTCCGAAGTGTTCGATTGGTGGAATCACCTTCTCAGCTAAGCACTGCACATACATGTAAAGCTGTAGGTTATTCTTTCCTAATCATTTTCACGTAAATAATTTTATAAAATACACAATTTTACCCCTAAATTTTGAACATTTAATTAGTATTATTTTAACAATTAATCATGATTAAATGACTTTTTATTTTGATAATTAACATTGCAGAAAGGATGGAGTACTCTGAATCTCTGCTCTTGATGATAAGCTGGACATCAACATGAACATCAATCACTAAAAATTTTCATATCAGATAAAAATTATAATTATAAATGAAATACACTATTTCATGCTGTGTTAAAATGAATTTGTAAAAATTAATACAAATATGTAATCTAATAAATTGCGTTTGTACTTATCTAATGTTTAATTGACTCTAGCTAGCTGCTACACAGATCTTACTATTATAATATGTCTATTACAAAAAATTAGGCTGATAGATGTATTTATTTGATGTTTGAACTTATTGGACGGCAACAGCCAGCCTGGTTCATAGAAAAGTACAGTGTAATTTTAAAAACATTAAATTATGCAAATGATGCTTACTTTCAATGTCATTGGGGTCATAATGGCACCCGGTGCGATGCAGTTACATCTAATGTTGTCTCCTGCCCACTCCAAAGCTAGAGTTCTCGTCAGCTGGTTTATTGCTCCTGAAATTTTCAATATTAATCCAATCTTTCCATATATATATATTTATCTATAAAGAGAGAGAGAGAGAGAATACCTTTTGCAGCTCCATAAATGGCAGCACCTGGAGCAGCTGCAAGGCCTGCAACAGAGGAAATGAATACAATGTTGCCGCCACCTGATGCCTTTAGAAGGGGGTAGGAAAGTTGGCTTAGATGAAACGCAGATTCGAAATTGGTAGCTATCGTAAATGCGAAGTCATCTGCCGTCGATTCAATCGTTTTTTTAAACAGTCCCTCCCCTGCATTGTTAATCTTCGTACAGAGAAAAACAGGATTTTATTTTCTTCTGCTGATTAATTATGAGGTCGTAAGTGCAGTAGCTAACTGATCTTAATTACCAATATGTCGAGCTTTCCCTGGAACTGGGAAGAGACCCGGTTGATGAGTTCCTCCCGCTCAGCCCTCGAGGACACGTCACAAACAGATACACTCACATCAAGATTAGTGCTCTTCCATAGTTTCAGGCATCCATCAAGATCTGCTTGGTTTCGAGCACAAGCATGCACCTTTGCGCCTAGTCCCGCAATCTCTTCAACAATGGCTTTCCTAAAATGGTTAAAAATTAAATATTGCAGATTAATGAATGCAATATATAAAAATTATATCAAGGTTCAAAGTTCTTCTAAATAAGATAGAAAGAAGAAAAAAAAAAAGAACGGACCCTATGCCTTTGGTGCCTCCAGTGACGAGAGCAGTTGTTCCATGAAGTGACCATCGTTTCTCTATCTCCATGCCGGCTTTTGTCTCTCTTCTCTCAATGACCATCTTCTATAGGATTTCTCTCAATCTCTCTCTCTGTCGCACTCTCTGGCCTTTGCTGATTGATTAACAACGACTCTTTTGGGAAAACGACCGAGTTTATATGAGAGATCAAATCAGTAAAAAATTATTTGGTGGCCGCCCAATTGGGGGAGAGTAGCGAGATCTCTCCTCCTATTGGGAAAATTTCCCCGTAAATTGGAAAAAAATATAAGGCGTAGGTAGCTTCGGAGAAGAAGCGCCATTTGCTCCAATTGTGTGTTTTAATTGTGTCTTTTAATAATACATTGAAACCGTGGCAGCCAATTTCTCTCTGTCTCTGCTGTCGAGGACAATTCCTTTTGTGCCTCATTTCGCTGAAAAACTCTTAGAAATATATAGTGAATCCACTCAATTTTCTCATTTGGTTGAATCGTCCATAAAATTATTCAATATTCATTTTAATTAAATTCAAAAAGTGTTCAAATTAAATAAAAATGTTAAATTTTTATTTTTTAATAAGGAAATAATGATTATTTATTAAATTGTTATCTGTCAACATTCAAATAAATATCAATGTCAAATTGTGTATGAAATGGAAAATTTACAAAATTTCGCCGAATTACTGCATAGTACACTTAAACGTATACGTTATTAATTAATTTCCTCATTATCTTAACGTAAAAATCTGTTATTTATTCTATTGGGCATGTTCTACGAACCTACATTTGGTACCCACATATTAAAATTTTTTAATTTTTTTTGTTGTTTTATCATCAATAATGGAATTCAAAACCTATTTCTATTGATAATTAATATATTCCATTAACATCTAATTACCTTTTCAACCATTAAACATATTTAAATGACCGTCTTTATTTCATAATTATCACTGCAGACAGGATTGAACTTGCTCAAGATAAGTTAGTTGGACATCTTTAATAAGAAAGTGATGGGTTTAATTATTAATCTAATGTTAGTTGGCCATAGTTGTTGGGCAGATCTGAAATATTATAATATATCATCTATAACAAATAAATTATTTTAGACTGATATATTTATTTATGTGATGCTGGAAAGCTTGCATGTTCCGCTGGAAGGAACAAAATAAATTTGGATGTTCTAACTTTCTTAAGATGGTGGGATTGCTATTTTATTTAAAATGATATTAAATTGTGTCAGCAAAGCACAACTTTTTATATCACACCATAACAATTTGCTTAAAATAATTCTAATTTTCTAAATTATCCGTTGAATCTGCACATTTTTTGCTTTTTGAGTTGGTTTTTTTAAGGAAAAAAAGGAAACTAGCCGCTCTTTCCCCCTATCTTCCCCATTTTAATTTATTTTTGAGTTTTGCCAAGTGTTAAAGAGTAAGGGAGCATTTGGAGATCGAGATCTTTTAGAGCATAATTATTTTTGTTGAAGCTAGTTATTCAGGTTAGATTTTATTGTGCATTTTTTAATAATACTTGATTAATTTTTCTGAATGAATTATGTTGTGTAATCAGTATCTTGTTCAGCTATCTAGATAGAAGTCTTCTAAAAAGTTCTACGATGTGTGGGGACACACGATAAAATTTTCCACCAAGGTTATCATTTAAGCATTCATAGTGTTCTCCAATGCATTTATTTTTATTGGCTTGTCATGCATGTTCTGAGACAAAATAGAAGTAGAACTATTATTGATGCAAGCTAGAAAATTCGTAGTAATAGAGTAACGAATTATCGTATTAGCATTTTACAAGAATTCAACATATACACAAATGTGAGAGAAATAAGTAGTGTCGACTCAAGAAGTTTTTTACAAGGAAAACCTACAAAGGGAAAAACCATAGGGCCTGACCGAGTTGCGAAAATCTACTATTGATTGATAATTGCAGATATTTCTTATACCACATACGAGAAATTGTAACTATATTTTTCAGATTAGAGCGTTGACTGACGACGTCTGGTTGGCGGTGATTGACGATGAATGACGGTGAACGATGATGTTTACTGGTGGTCGGTGACAGTTGAAAGAGGTCAACGGAGGTCTGCGGCGGTCGATGAAGGTTAGCGGAGGTCAAGGAAGGTTGGGGGGTGGTCGACAACAGTAGACGATAGTCGACGGAGGTCGGCGGTGCTCGACGAAAGTCGGTAGTTGACGATGGTTTGCGATGGTCGACTGTTGTGGGAAGTGATCGACGATGGTCGGCGGTTGTCAATGAAGGTCGGCGGTGGTCGGCGGCGGTCAGCGGTGGTCGACGACGGTCGGCGGTGATGCTGAGCTGCAGCTCCTTCTCAATGCACCATGCTCTCTCTAAGCTTAAGGTTCCTCTCGTGAGAGGGGTGGTGCTTTATTTATAATGTTCTGAGTACAATTAATGCAGAAATATGAATCATTTTGATTGAACGATCTAGATAGCTTCATTCAAGCAGACAATGTTTAATGGACATTCAGATGTCTTAATGATGTCAGAATTGAGTGATCTTGGGCTTGTTGGATTCGTTTTGTTGAGATGTTTGATTCGACTATGAACTTGCCAGATTAGACATCCATTTGACCTTCCAAATGTGTTCGAGAATCTTCCAAAAGTGATTAAATGACTTGATACAAGCTTGATTTGACACGAATTAGACTAACTTTGATGTCATTAGGTTCCTCTCATCGAGCCGTTCAGTTTGACTGTAAGTTTCCTTAAATCAGAGTTCTGAATGACTTTTTATCAAGATTTAAACACCCATTGCTAAAAATATTATCTCGAGATCCGTGACATATTTTGATATTCGTGTCGCATAATGAAAATTTGTTGGTGCGTATCAATTATAGTTTTAATTTTCATGTTAATCAGGGCTAAGTGATGTGTAACTTTTTATGTAATATTTTGAACTTCTAAGCTTATGAGAAATATGATATTCATCCATGTTGTTTTGTTTGAGTTAATTCGAAAGGGTGGTATATATGAGTGTTAAGTTCTTTATTTCATAAATAACTGCAATACAATTAAACTATTTAAACAAATATACTGTTTCACCAACAATAACTTTCTCACAATAGTTTGTTTGAACGACAATTTCACAGCTACTTCTTCAAATAGTTGTAACTGCCCCAAAAAGACCCTCAAGAAACTACTGGGCCAATGAAGCCATTTATTGATGTATATCATTAATATACAAAAGTTTTATATAAAAATCAAAATAATTCAATTATAAATAGAAAGAAAAGGAACCCCGTTTCTTGTTTTATAGTGAAGAGGAGAAAGCAAAAGCCGAAACAAAAACCGTGCCATGGCTAACTGTCCGACAAAAATATGACAGTTCTAATGATTCGTACAAACAAATAACTTTAGGAGCTGATAAAAATTAAGTTTATATTTAATCATATGTGTATGTATATATATATATATATATATATATATATATCCTATATATATATATATCCTAATTAGCCAGCATTGAGCCGCAAATAGTCATCCCTCCATCAACCACGATAACCTGACCGGTAATATAAGCAGCTTCAGGCATGCACAGAAACGCCGTCAGTGCTGCACCTCTTCTGATTAAATGAAACATTAATCCATGCACTAATATTATAATTATGCCGTTTGCTTGCATATTCTCAGTTTTTTTGATAATGGAGTGGTAATTACACCCCGGGGCGATGCAGTTGGATTGAATATTGTCCTGCGCCCACTCTACTGCCAAATTCTCGTCAGTTGGTTCATTGACCCTGTTCACAATTAGTTAATAAATTATGTAATTAAGAGCAGAGCGAGATTAATTAATTAATTAAGAAATACTTAGCACCTTTAGTGATAGAGTACAAGGTTGCAAGTGGAATGGCGAGGAGTCCTGCATTTGAAGAGATGAAGACAATGCTGCCGGCGCCGGAAGCCTTCAGAAGAGGTTGGCAACAGCGGATTCCAAATTGGTAGCCATCAGGAATGATTAATCTCCTAAATTAATTTCAACAAATTTCTTCGGTATCGACATTCCTGCGCTGTTAACCTGCACAGTAGTTATATGTAAGAACTATTAGGTAACATGGAAATCTGGTTTGTCGCAATTTAATTAGTTTTTTAATTAAGAATTTCACTTATCGCTCACCTATCTCCTATCTACCGCTCTCTCGGTTTCTATAAATAGTCTCTTTTGACTTGTCATAAAGTATGAAACCAGACCAAGCCAAATCCTTTAAGTGAGAAAGAGAGAAAGAGAGAGAGAGAGAGAGTAAGGAAGAGAAGAAAATAGAGATTTTCTTATAAATATAGAGACACTCGACGGTGTAATTCTTTGAATAAATAAAATTCTCTGCAGCTTCGTGAATGTAGACAAATTTGTCGAACCACGTAAATCTGTGTATCGCTCTGTTGTTTTTCTACGTGTAATTTTTCTCGTTTCATTTTTCACTTTATTGCCGTCGTTTTTAGTCAACAAAAACCTGCTGATACCTGCCTGTTAAAAGAGACACGGTGGAGGGGGTTTACTTACAAGTATGTTGAGCTTGGAAGAGAGATGAAGCTGTGGAGACCAATTTCTGTCTCTCAGCTGGAGAGGACACATCACATACAGAAGTTGTGACATCAAGTTTCAAGTCATGCCGCCAGTGTTGAAGGCCTTTATGGAGCTCTGCTTGACTACGATGGCTTTCCTGCAATATTCATCCATATATCATCAACAAAAGCTGCAAATTAAGAAATGCAGATATGTGAGACCGACAAAAGAGGAGATGGAAATATGGATTAATGGGACAATTCCTTTGGAGCCACTGGTTGACCCCAGCTGTGGCTCCATGAAGATTTGAGAACATATAAGCAGAGCCTCAATTAACTTCTCCAACTAAGTCCAGATCAGGGATGACGCTATCGATATTTCTGATTAGTGGAGCAACGACGATAGCAAAAGGCCCAACCGGGCGGCCCATCATCAATCTTAGTTGGTTGGACCTCCAATAATATTTTACTGGCCCAAAATGGTTTATAATTAATCCGAGCACTTTTTTAAACGTAAGTTAGTGGATCACTAGCTATGAGCTAGTGATCTTATAAGAATAAAAAACCATGAAATAATATTAATAATAAAGGCCTTAATTTCCAAGTCAAGCAGAATCCAATAATATGCTATGTTTCACTTCATCTTATGCTTCTCAACCTTCTAAACAAATGAATGCAATGCATGGGTAAAGGTTACCCATATGACTTTGATGGTGTCATCGACATCGACAACATCCTAAGGATCCAAGGGATTTA